CACGGACGCTGCACGCAAAGGCTGTCACAAAATAATCTATATTTTCTATGAAGAGAACACTTCAGTAGGACAGAGCCAATGTAAGGTGTGTGCTGATGACCACCTTACATAAGCACTTACTAAGCGTCTAACCTGTTGCAATAGACAGGCCTACTTGCCACATCCCCCTTACATGCAAGGCTGGGCCAGTAAGTCAGCCCAGCCAACTAACACCGGGTAAACCCCGTAACACTTTGAGGCCATAGTTCCCATACAAGATGGCGAAAACTCCTTTCCACCGTCTAACCTCCATGATTTAACTACCATTCCGAACTGAGTTGAAACCATTGCGTTAAAATTTTCGACAGCTTCAAATGACCCATTTTTGTGGTCATAATAATGGCCCCAGCGTGCTGAAGAAGCGGCCTCCGTAAAAACTGTACAGTATCTAACATTGATCCAAGAATTATTTAGGAGAATTTTCCCTCTTGGATTTATCATGACAACGTCTACAGAAACAGAGTCAAAGGGTTTGTAATCTCTAGGGCTGACAGTTTTACGTACATGCTGAAGTGGATTCGAAATTTCACAGGCCTCACACAAATTTGAGCTTGGTTCTGCGGGTGTTGCATCATACTCAATACCAGTGGTAATTTTTTTGGTAGCCTTCACATTTCTGACGCCCAAGTGTCCCAAGCGACGATACCAGAGATCGAGAGTTGGTCTAGGTTGATGTTCCAAAACCGGAAAGGCATTCATGGATACGTATTCCTTTATCACCATTGAATCATCGAACTCAGCAAATTCTAATCCACGAGGGCTGAATAGTAAGTGCTTTTGGGCATAACCTCCAGCTTTATAAAGTTGAACGCCACTAAAGAGATTGATTGGACATTCTGGCAAGTAACTAACGTCTTTTAACCTAAATGGGTATATAGCTCCGCTAGAATTTACACACTGTAGAGTGACAGTACCCTTGCCTCGGGGACGAATGGGTCCACTTGCAGTGTTAATGAGACATAGATCATCGATGCTTGTATAGGTGCCTTTGTCAAACTTGTCAAGAGAGTTTGTTATATGGCAGCTAGCTCCTATATTGTATATCCAAAACTCTGACCTGGCAGCCCGTGAATTATTAGCCATGACCACAGGGTTTAAGTCGGTCAAAACGACGCAGCTTTCGTCGAAGAACGATGTCCTAGCCTCATTGAAGTTTTGACTGGAGCTTGAACTTTTGTAAGGCTTCCAAGTCTTGTTGTGTTTTCTTTCCCAAGCCAGTTTAGCCTCTTTATTCTTAGGATTTTCAAAACATTTGTCCTGAGGGTGTTTCGCCTTCAGATTTCCGTAAGTCTTACAATTGTATATCTTGGGCTTGGCTTTTTCTTTATTTTTTGGTTAGGGTTTGGATGTTCTTGACTGCGGGGTTGTTGATACATGACCATTTGGGCTCGTTTACTGTTAGAATTCACCCGTGATTCATCTTTCAAATCGCGTATAAACTCATCAAGTAAAGATATCTTGATGTCTTCAATCTCCTTTAAACTTCTCAGGCGCGTCCTCATATTCATTGCCCACATTGGATAGTCATCTTTAACTTTTTCAACGAAGAATATAACAGCATCAGGATCTCGAACTTTCATCTTAAATTGAGCCAATGTTTCCATAGTCTGTCTATAAGCAAGTATGAAGTCGTCTAACTTGGTGTAATCTGAGCATCTTATTGACAAAAATTTGGCCGCAGCTTGCATGTAGAGGACTATGCCGGATCCCTCGAACTGATTCCGCAAAGCTTTCCACATTGACTTGGCACTCTCGAGATTTTCAACTTTTCTTACCAGAGACATCAACATATTTCCTGTTATTATCAACTTCATCTTTGCATCCTTTTTAGCCCACGCTTTATATTCTTCGATGTCTTCTGCTTTTAGTTTTTCGTCGAATATATTTATTTTGGCAGGCGGTTCTGGAGCTAGAGGGTGAAAATGATCTGACAAATCGTGAATCAAAGCTAGGTTTATGATACTATTCTTCCATGTTGAATAGTATTCCTCGCCTGTAAGCTTGAGATTTGATAATAGGTAGAGGGATCCGTCTTGTGACATTGCTCCAAAATATTCTTCTCAATTTATTGAGTATTGGGTCGCTGAAAGCTCTTTTAATCTTAAGACTGACGTATATGACGCGTCAATCGACCTGTCCAATGTACCTGATAAAACTGCCTATAACACTTTATTGCTAGAACTTCTTCAGCAAATATAAATTTGAGTGCAACACTGTGGCAGTAGGTATATATAAAATTTGGACAACTGATAACTACACTTAGAATAGAATAGAATTAAATTTAAGTCCCTACTGAGTCTATGACTATGAAGGACATAACTACACTTAACTTAGTGAGCAATTTGGTCTCATAATCTCTTAAAGGACGTATATAGAATGTAATATAAGTTAATTGATGTGTAAGTTACAGGTATAAGAATGGCTAGTATACAACGCTAGAAAGTAATGTAAACGCTACAGGATAAAGTCATGTGACATAAAACAGCGTAAGGCTGACACTTCAACAAGAACTTTGCCCATTATTGTGTTAATTGCGACTGGGACCGTCGCTATTCTAAGGGAAGCCAAGTCCGAGGCTTTCTCCAATATCGCATCCTGCTGGGCGAAGGATCCAGCTATGCTAAGCATCAGCGCGCGTGCCTCTTGGTGTCGGCTCTGATTGCAAAGCCAGTTGGCACATGGTAGACATGCTCAATTTTTGTTTGGAGGATTTCGAGCATTTGCGTAATTGCTTCTCTAACACCGAAAGGTGAGAGTGTTCGCCAGGGATGTTCTTTTTCGAGGCGCAGAAACAAACGTTTGTCTTGCACAGCCGGCTTTGTTGGTCTAGTTGAATTTTGGGTCGTTTGCATCAAGTTTACCGCCTTGGGCATTGTCTGCACGACATTTTTTGGTACTGGGAGCGTCTGTAGACAATTACGGGTGTTTGAGGCCCAAGTGCTTTTGGCCTGGCGCACTACGGCTTGAGTCGCTTCGCGTTGTGGCTCACTTTGCTTACCAGCAGCATATTCTGCGGTCTTGCAACTAGTAGCCTGGATTTCGGGGCGTGGGGGAAGTGATAGGAGGACTGTACCTGGTCCCGCGATCATGAATTGAGCTATTGCAGCTCTAATGTAGACTTTCATAGAGTCTATAAATTGAACACTCGACCCTTTGGATAGGGGGGAGAGAGCATTCTTGACACCGTTTATTGCAGCAGTGCAAAGTTTTACATTTTCCACAGTTTTTTCGGCCCGGCATTCCTCAGCCTCATTTAAGGCTCTGAGTTCGGGGGGCATTCCTCCGTCTGACTGCCTTCATTTCCACCGTGAGGAGAAAGATTCCCTTCTGTAGTTCCTGGTGTATGTTCCAGGGAGCTTGGGGTAGATGCTGCATCTTTTGCCTTGTTAGCATCTGCAATTGCAGCCCGCCTCATAGCCGGCACAGCGACTTCAATGAGAGGAAGTATATGCTGTCTGGTAGTCGCTGTCCCTAAATTGTTGCGACTCGTCGCTGCATTTTCAGCTCCGGTCGCATCTGGCTTGGAGTATATTGAGTTGGGTAGTCTTTTCAGATTCTTAAGAATCTTGTCAATGTCAAAGTTGCCAACATCTACCATATCGCAATCTATGGTACTTTCGTCGATTAATTGGTCGATGTTCATCTCTTGAACGGCAGTCAGTTGGCCCAACTTGACGCTTGCTTTCTGTCGAGCAACGTGTTTGAGGTGCTTGCGGTTATCTACGATGTCTTTCGCCCGCGATGGCTTACTGCGAACTGGGGGCATATTGGTAGCCTGCCAGTCGCTCACAAATTTTGAATTAAGGGCGTACGATATCACGATATCGAGAGAGGGAGGGAGAGGAGGAGAGGGTGAATATTCGAAAATTCGAATTTCAAAAAATTGTGGGTGTGTGTTTGTGTTTATTTTGCTACTTGAGTCTATGACTATCTAGGACATTGGGCTCCTCTCTGACCCATGCCACACCTTGTACAGTGCTCCTATCCTCTTTTGTTACTTGAAAGATCATTGATATATTCCCCTTGATGAATAGCCATTCAGCTCAGTATTTACCCGTGGAATTCGGCCACCTTTTCCACGGAACCTTCTACCCAAAAAAAAAAAATGATAGCAATGGAAACTGCGTGCGCGGGAAAAAGTCTCAAAAAACCTGCAGCCCCAGCCAGGAGAGGCCTAGACACCGGGACCACATGAGGTGCGCATATTCATCTATATCTCCCTTCTTTGTAACGATCGAGGCCGACTTGATCCAATCCACCATCTCCGTATCGGATGCTGGGTCCGCTCCGGAAACTCATCGGGTGACTTTTCCTCCGTGATCAAGGTTTGGTGATGAGTAGAGCTCCGACCCTACCATCTGATCTGATTGTGGTTAGCTTCATGATAATGGTGATCGGGGAATGTGTTGAGAGATGAAGACAATACAGACGGCGAAAGCGATTGGGAATCCTCTTCGAAGTGAGGACTTTGTTACTCAATCTCGGCTCTGCAGACTCTACAGCGAGAGCTGGAGGTTCGTAGGGGACACCGCTGACAGGTGTTGAGAATAGTCCCCCTATGGTTGTGTTATGAGCTGTCACGACGTTAACTAGTAAAACAAAAACAAACAAGAGGTAGCTATTCGTTATCTGTACAGTTATGAATTTCACTATTCATCAATGGACTAATTCGATCCACATTCAAATAGTTTTGTGGGGGACCTAAGTCTCGGGTGTACAACGTTGGGTAGTTTATGACCCATCTTCTGTCTTACTTAAGCCAATGTTTTTTTTTCGCCACGCGTGTCAAGCCTCTGTTCGCGTACCAGCTCGACACGATGATGGAAAAAGTTGAGCTATGAATTATTGGATGCTGTAATTCATGCATACTCAAATATCGCTCGCGGACTATTAAAACGGTAATATTCGCTGATAAGTTTCGAGGATCTCAAGTTAGCCAAGCCTTACCAAGGTTCTGGACCATGGAATCCACAGAGATTAAGCAGGAAAATGAAAATGATATAATTGATATCACTATGTCCGATAATTCGGAAGGCGTGGAACAATTGTCGGTAGTAGCAGATTCCACCAAGGATAACCTAAAGGTCCAGTTAGATGACCTATTCAGTGATACTGAGCCGCAATTTGAAATACCAAAGTCAAATAGTCATCAAAATTGTACAGGCGAGCCTAATTCTACAGATGTGTCCGATTCATCATTGTGAGTCTTATTCGTCAGCGTATGATCTATGTCTGATGAATAAGCCATCTAAAGCAAGAAATACGGCCCTCTGATCCAGAGGTAATGAAAACATATTATCAACGTTTATTTCCATGGAGATACTTGTTCCAATGGCTTAATCACTCTCCTGTTCCTTCCAACGATTTTGGTCATCGAGAATTCGCTTTTACCTTGCAAAATGATGCTTATCTAAGATATCAATCATTTCCTACCTCTGATCTGTAAGTTTTATTGCCGCACCTGAATAGGTGCTAATCAACCAAGTATTCGAAAAGATGTTCTACGGCTGCAACCTACTCGGTTTGAGATTGGACCTATTTACAACACAAATCCCAGAGATCGAAAGACGTTAGCTAAATCTTCGGCCTTCAGGCCAATCGAGAAAGAACTCTGCTTTGATATTGACTTAACTGATTACGACGATATTCGCACGTGTTGTGAAAAAGCCAACATTTGTAGGAAGTGCTGGAAATTTATCACAATGGCTATGAAGGTTTTGGATGTGGCATTGAGAGAAGATTTTGGATATAAGCATATATTATGGGTATATTCAGGGCGTAGAGGAGCTCATGCATGGGTTTGTGACAAAAACGCCAGAAATATAGACGATCAAAAGAGGAGAGCTATTGCAAATTATCTTGAGATTATTAAGGGAGGAGCAAAGAGTGGAAAGAAGGTGAATCAAAAGAGGCCTTTACATCCACACACCCTGTAAGTCTATATGTAAATTAATGACTTTCCAATAACATCAAACTTAGGCGAAGTTTAGAAATCCTAAAGAATCATTTCCAGAATGATGTTCTTCAGGATCAGAACCCGTGGGAAGCAGATGAAAAGTTTGTGCGCCTTCTGGATCTACTTCCTGATCGGACTTTGAATGAAGCATTAATGAAAAAGTGGAGTTCAGCACCCGGTCGAGCATCAAGTGCCAAGTGGGCGGATATAGATACCCTCGCCAAAACTGGTGCAAGCAAATCCTTGGATGCTAAAATGCTGTTAGAAGCGAAGCAAGATATAGTTCTCGAATATACATATCCAAGACTAGATATTGAAGTTAGCAAACACCTCAACCATTTGCTGAAAAGTCCTTTTGTTATTCATCCGGGAACAGGAAGGGTTTGCGTCCCTATTGATGCTAATCATTGCGAAGATTTTAACCCTCTTACTGTCCCTACAGTAACAGATCTTCTTAAAGACATTGATGAATGGTCTAACACTAGAGAGCAGAATTTTGGGGAGAGTGCCAGGAAATTGAACGACTGGGAGAAGACAAGGCTAAAACCTTACATCGAAATATTTAGAACTTTTGTAAATTTACTTCTGAAAGATGAGCGAGAGGATCACATGAAAGACGAGACGGAGGAGATGGTGACTACGGATTTCTAGTTGTAAATACTTTCTACCTAGATACCCTTACTGAATAACTTTGGGTTTATTGGTGAACAAATTAAATAATTCGTAAATTTTCTTGTGAATGGTTTTGGAGTAAGTTGAGTAGTCACTAATAATAATGTTCAAGCGAGGGTTAGCCAATGATGACGATGTAAAAGTGGGTTGACGTACCTGGACTCAGCTTTGCGCTAGGCTTCAATCAATGCGGAAATCGGAAAAGCCACGGACAACCCTAACTACTCCAACACTCCACATCATAAAACCCTTTTCTTAATCATAACTCACGACACGCTTTCAATCCGAGTCAAAACTAACAACACTCGATCGATAATTTTCTCAGCCTGAATCCACGTTGGCCAATTACAAGGTGTAACGCTACTGATATAGACACAACACACAACCCCTCCACTACCTGAGGCTCTCTCCACCTCATTTCAACTAACAGCATCAAAGAAATCAAGATACGGTGCACACAATACTACTACGCTACTATCTTAAGGAAAACCCCTATTTAAATCGACCCCAACCTTGATAAAGTAGATCCTGCTTACGCACTATCTCCTGGAAAAAAAAGTGCACTCAGAAATGGCAGACGTGTTAGCTCACAAATTAATGTCCACCAACATAAGGTAAAAAATTTCGAACCTAATAGCATTATATTGCCGCCCATACTAATTAATTTCAGTGATGCAGGCCCACGGGCGGAAGACTGGAAATCTGGCTTGGTCATTCCCACCAAAGATACGCGACAACAGACAGAGGTATATAATTATCCTAGGATAGATTTCTTTGTCAACTCAACATCATTTTAGGACGTTACCGCAACCAAAGGCCTTGAGTTCGAAGGATTTGGACTTAAGAGAGAATTACTAATGGGAATTTTTGAAGCTGGGTTCGAAAAACCCTCTCCAATTCAAGAAGAAGCAATTCCCGTAGCACTTACTGGACGCGATATACTAGCCCGAGCAAAAAATGGTACGGGCAAAACTGCAGCTTTCGTGATTCCAGCTCTTCAACGCATCAATCCTAAAAGCAATAAGATTCAAGCATTAATTTTAGTCCCCACTCGAGAGCTTGCTATGCAGACTTCTCAGGTTTGCAAGACCCTAGGTAATAAACTTGGAGTCAATATTATGGTCACAACTGGCGGAACTTTCTTACGTGACGATATTGTGCGTTTATCAGAAGCAGTTCACGTCGTTGTAGGAACCCCAGGAAGAATTCTCGACTTAGCCGGAAAAGGGGTTGCAGATCTGAGCGAATGTCCCACCTTTATTATGGATGAAGCCGATAAACTACTCTCGCCTGAATTTACACCCGTCATTGAACAGCTTCTTCAATTCCATCCCAAAAATCGGCAAGTCATGCTATTCAGTGCTACTTTTCCGATAACCGTCAAAACTTTCTCAGACAAGAATATGGCGGACCCGTACGAAATCAATCTCATGGACGAGTTAACCCTACGTGGTATAACCCAATATTATGCATTTGTCGAAGAGCGCGAGAAGGTTCACTGCTTAAATACTTTATTCTCAAAACTACAAATAAATCAATCAATAATCTTCTGTAATTCAACTAATCGCGTCGAGCTCCTGGCAAAAAAAATCACTGAGCTGGGTTATTCCTGTTTTTACAGTCATGCTCGTATGTTGCAAAACAACCGCAACCGAGTATTTCATGATTTCCGCAATGGCGTGTGTCGTAATCTTGTCTGCTCAGATCTTCTAACGCGTGGAATCGATATCCAAGCCGTCAATGTCGTAATTAACTTTGACTTCCCAAAAAATGCAGAGACATATCTACATCGAATTGGCAGATCTGGTCGATTTGGCCATCTTGGACTCGCGATAAACCTAATAAATTGGGAAGATCGCTTTAACCTTTACAATATTGAGCGGGAGCTAGGTACTGAAATTCAAGCCATACCTGCTACCATTGATCGGAACCTTTATGTTTACGATAGCCCTGAAAATATACCATGTCCAGCTGCCAATCACCAACCCAAGCAGTCAACGCGCGACCACGGCCAGCGCCAACATGTTGGAAATACTCGTAATAATAACCAGAATACTGCGCGCCGAAATGAAGCAGGCAAAGAACAAGAACAAAATAATGATCAGACCCTACGTCAAAATCAGAATGCCGGTCAAAGTAGCGTTTCTTCGACCACCGGTGCTCGACAAGAGCACAATAATCGACGAGGTGGCCACAGGCAACAGAATGGCTACGGGGGGCATCGTGGCCGAAGGCAACCCGCACCGGCCAACAAGCCTTCCCATGCGGCATGAAGTATGGTAACGAGGTTAGTGCATTAGCTATGTAATTATTCAATTCTTTCTTTCTTTTTAGCGATGTGTTAGAAGAGCTTACGATGGGTCGACTATATCTACTGCTTGTATATCCGAAATTATTCAGGATTCTATTTGTGGCTACTGTTCACTGGACTTTTAGCTAATGGTCTTCTTATGTCCGGCCGGCCGGCTGGCAATTTGATTGTACCATGCCACTTTCATTTAACCCCAATTTTTAAATGCGGAGGAAAGGTTCTTAAAAGCAATATCCATCATGGTGTCTCACGGGTTTCATGGATGAGAATAAGAGGAGTTCACCGGGCGATACTGTGCAGTTGATTTTGGCGTTGGGGTGTAATATCTTAGTTTGATCTCTGGACAATTGATTACCATAACCTGACCCAAATGTCACGCGCAGGCACTTGCGCTAGGAGGTAATCTAGTTGTGAAGGGAAACAATTGAGAGATGTTAAGACCTGTCACGATAGCTGATGGCACTGATAGTGTATGAGGACCGGTCTGACACAAGATTAATTTTTGCAACTTAATATCTTTCGAGTTTGAATGGATTGGGCGTCTGGAACCTGGGTTGGAGGGAAAGGTGAATTGAGGAATGGAGGGCTGATAAAAAATACAACTAAACCTGAAAAAAAAAATTGAGGGGAGAATGTATGAGTGTTATAGTTCGTTTCGAGATCTGGCTCGCAAGCTATAATGTTCAACTAGGGAATATAACTTCATTTCCCCTCAAGCTCTATCACAATGAGAATGGAGCAGCGCCTGATAGGCACAGAGACATTCTTTATGGTATTACAACTACGGCAGTTGCGGATTGTAAAAGGGCCGGCATACGCTAGAGGATGCCATCATATTCTTACCGCAGGCAAAATACGTTCCGTAAACCATTACAAAATCAGATTGGTTCGGGCAATGTGAAATTGTGGTAATTTTATTCTCGGTAGTAACAAGGTAATACACAGCATTAAACAGTAGATTTGCGTATTTAAAACTCTCTATCTGCCATAAATGTTACATTTAATTTAGGGGAAGGGGCTCATTTCGGTAATCTACAAGAATAGATTGGGCGACCGAAATATACCTTAACAAGCATCAACCTTACATGCGTCCAGATTACGGCACTAAAAACGTTTCCGCAATAGCGTTTTTCCTCTAGTCTAATTAAACGAGACTCGCGAACAGACAAATTACGGACCGTCTCAAGTTAAGCCCAATCTTAATCCCCTTCTATGTCACTCATGTCAACATTCCGCTTCACTTCCTACTTCATCCCAGCTCTTGTTTCTATTCCACATCCCTGGTATTGTCAGGGATATTCTCAATCCCAGAGCCATGCAATAATGTGCAAGAGAGGGTTGCTTCCGTAAACCTCTTCCTTGGGCTGTGGAGGATTCGGTGCGAGCATCACCCCACCTCACCTTACCGTCTTATCTTTTAACTCTTATATCGCAAACGTCTCCCGGGTCTGATCTATCGGCAAAAGGTTCAAAATATCTACGCAGCCTTAACATTCACTTCTTCCGATCAGCAAATGCCTCGCGCCTCGTCTTGCCAATCACATTAACAAGCTCTTCACATGCGAACTGTTCGTTTTGATAGTAACACTGCTACGAAGGAGTCACCTTATCTCTGTAGCTTCAGTCAGGGTACTGAAGTCTAATCAGAAGCCCCCTATATCAAAGTTGTCAAAGGATTCTAAAGTTGACGCCGAATGGGGAAAGGCTTCTTTGGCTATGTCTTCTCTAGTAAGCTCAGATCCTTACATTTTAATACAGTAGAAGTAAGCAGATACTATTGTGGAACTTTGCTGATTCAATTCTCTCTTAAAGTTATGCCTAGCTCACTTTTGCGATACACATGGACCGACGCCCCTGATGGTTACTGAAGGCCTGCCTGTGGGATGCAACTCGTGCCCTCAAAGTGATAATATTTTTGTACAGCCATCAAAAATAGGCTCGTCTACTCTTAATACCACCATTGGGCCATCCGCTTTAACCCTCTCAGCGTGCCAAAATAAAGATAAGGAGCAAGGTAAAAAGGTTGCATCAGCTTTCACGCCTCCACAGAGTCCGAAGGTTACTTTACCACACGCCTCAGGCGTTAAATCCAATGATCCAGGGCTCCGCTGGAGTAACAATGAGAGTGAAAGAAAGAGGGTATCTCCATGCGACAATTGTGCCCTAACGCTTCCAAAGAAAACCTTACAGGAGGCTGCGCTGGCATCTCTTCAGAATAAAAGTCCTATTCTACGTACTCGCAAACTTTATGAACGAGTACCTATACAGATAGTAGATGATCAGTCACCTTCAAAAATGAAAGCAACCAAGCAGATGACTACATCTTCCAATAAAGACACATGTCGAGAAACAAATAATGTCAGTACCTCAGCAAAAAGCTACAACTTTAATCCCTCGGTCCGCTCTCACGATCACTATCTCGACTACACTTCAACACATGAGCCATTGTTGCCATCTACTTTCTCGAATGTACGACAGTCATGCCTACGAACCCTCTCTTGTGAAACGCTCCCTCCCTCAACCCAATCCAAAATATCTCATTCGGATCCATACAGTAGCGCATATTCAAACTCTAATTTTTCATTGACCGCATCAGCTGGTGGACCTATCTTCTTCGGCGATCCACTTGCAGGCTATACTATCGCCTACACATTTCGAATTCCAGATGCAAATGTTCGAGGTCGTAGTCGAGTCTATGCTTTAATGGCACTTACTTCGAAACGAGAACACGCAGCTATGCAAGCTTTTTCTTACCTATCAACAGCCTTTCGAGAACTGGCTCAATGGATCCTCACTCTTGCTGAACTAGAGCTTGAAAGAAATGAAGCTCTCAAGTGCCCTACGAAAAGTGGTCAGCCACTCAGTAGTTTTCTAAATGACTGCAGAAAAGGATTACATGAAGGTGGAAAGTTAATACTCAAGAATAGAAGCTTAGCGGAGGTGGTGGGAATGCCAGACTTTTTTATTGAGTTACACAGTCGATTCGTAAGACTTTTGGCCGAAATAAGTTTTTTGACTAGATTTTGATACTATTAGCCTGATTGGCTGCACAAAAGTTTAGCTTCGACTACGGAAACAACTATTTGTAACAACTACAATAATCCCTTAACGCTTTTACGAAATAAATTACTCAGCTGCCAAATATTACCACGGCTAAAAATAATAATAATAACAAAATTACTAATTAAAGTGTTACTACTATAATTCCGGAGAGACTGCCCTATTAATTTTCAATTTCAGTTCAGGAAGCCGAGGCGTTTGGGATAATATACGATAAATTCAACCCTTCTCAGAATGAAGTTATCCGTGTTGTGAAAAAAGAGGCGTTCACTTTCAGGAAGTTGGAGGCTTAGGCTATTATCAAATAGACCTAGGGCTAAATATTCGAAGATTATGATCATTAAAGCTTATTTTTAAAATATCGGGATTTTAATAGGCAGGCTAGTAAATCAAGTTGTTATAACCTGTTGTGATATTGAGTGTAACTAGCTGTGTGCACGGAAAAAATTATCACATACAGTAGTTGCACTCTCCCCAGGAAGTCGAAGGAGATCAATTGGGAAATGACGATTGCCAGCTTAGTGTATATTAGGACATGTATTCTCTCTTCATGATGATCATATCTTCCACTTGTCGAAAATAGACTCAAATGAACATATTTTATTCATAACTTTCCCGTTATCTTCCTGTGAGCGGTGTCGTCTGCAACTATCTTTCCGTTTACCCAATAACCTCAATACAACCCACAGTTTTTAGCTCAACCTACGGAAGACCGGCTTGAGGATAGGAGTTGGCACTGTCATGCTTTTTCAATTCTTTAAGCTTACATATTTGGTAGATTACAAATGCTGATAATGTGATGATCTTGTACAACCTAAAAGCTCCTCACGGATGCTCTCAGGGCAACCTTTGCCATAGGCAGAAGATTAAGACGACTTCTATCATAATCTGGCATGATCTGGCCTAAAGCATATGACGTTAAACTGACGTGCGAATGACTTTGTACCTAACTATCTCATGATATTTTGGACAGCAGACTATTCTTCTGATAGAGCATGCTGCAAGGGGATCAAATGAATACAGGGAGAAGAAATTATAGAATGTGTCTACCTGACTTGGCAGATGGCTACTACATCTCATGGAATGCAATTTTCATGCACAGAAAGTTGATAGCATTAAACGATGAAAGTAGCCTGCATCAAACAGATCGCAAAGGCTCTTGAGATAAAGAAGTTTTTCGAAGTTCATACGTAGTTTCGTGCTAGCTTTTGAAGGCTCCAAAGTCTAATTCGACAGTAATACTTAATAGTATGAGATAGCGATAGAACTCTCAAATTGTGGTTAGCTTGGGCTTTCTGCGCAGCGTGGGTTGATATGAAGCAGGCTTCGTATTCTGGGTTGTGAACGCTATATGCGGGTCCACAGCTAGGACTGAACATACCTCACTCGGTGCATCTCAGCCCCGTCCTACCCGCGAGTTACGGCGCTCTTCAGCCTTCCCGTCTCCGAGCCGCGATGCCAATTTGGGCCTCGGCCTTGTCCAGACCACGATTCTCCCCTCCCGTAGCGGCAGTGGAACGCTGTCCGTCGAGTTCGTCGGCGCGAGCGCGCCCAACATGGCGGCCCATGACATCCTTGAAGGCAAGCTTATGTCGGCGGTTAGTTCCAATTTCTCTGACCGCGACTGAAATGGCGCGCGAGAGACGGCGCACGGATGCAGGGTGGCAATCTCGATGATGACGTGCATCGTGGGAAGCCGGGGGGCGCCTGGACGGGCCCTGCCGGCGCAGCTGAGATCGCCTTAGCGCAATGCCTGGCCGGAGTGACCTCTAGTGTGCAGGCTTGTTCGTCCTCCGCACACATGCATAGCGTGTCCCTCGCGCGCTTAACGTCGCAGTCTCACATTTACTTCAGATAAAGCGCTCGAGCCGGCCTGCGTCCACGCTCAAAGGTCGGCAGCAAGGAGTGGGGCTGGTAATCTGTGAGGCTGAGAAATGGTGCGCATAACATGCCTACGTCGACGAGCCCTCTCGCATCGTCAGTTCCCGTTCCAAGAGGTATGTCGGTGCCGGGACCCGAAAGGGCACGAGCATTCATTGTCCGGGGTCTGGGATGAGTGCTCGGCCTCCCTCGCCATCCAACCACGCTCATTGGTCGCTTGGTGTAGTGGTATATAAGCCGCACTAGTCTTCCGAGAAGCGCCGGTTGGCTTAAGCGACTATCCTGACGAGATAGGGGAGCGCGGCTTCTCTTCCGGCGAGCCGCTAGACCTTCTTGCACGCTAATTAGCAGGTAGATTACCCCTGGCCAATGCCTGCGCCTAAGACTCGAGGCTGGAGCGCAGGCTATCAAGCTTCAACGCGATGTTTGCGAATGAAGTCTAGCAAAAAGAATCATTCTATTCCGACATGGTTTACCGGCTACCTGTCATAGCGGGAAAGCTAAGTAGACTATACGCAAGAAAGTCCTGGTCATGGGAGAAAGCTTGGTAACTCTTGCCTCGGTCAGCTAACGAAAATATGCGGCTTTCACTTGGTCTGTGACCGTAAGAAACAAGAACCAACAAACTCACTCTCAGGGATTTTAAGTTGCATAAGAGACCAGGCATAGGGGATCTGGTTACTTTGTCTGCTCAGAACTTCATTAGAATTTGTAGGAAGATTAGAATTGAAAATATCGACAAGGTATGGTATTGGCAAGTGAATTTCCATAAAAGACATATGCTACACTTATCTGAGACCGAGACAGTATCTTTTTTTGCATCAGATTTTAATTGCGTATGCAGCTATCTAGCTATGACACAATATCAAAGAAAAGTACAGAAAAGATGACTCAATTTACAAGAAGAGCACTCATGCCTCAGATTTCATTTGCAAGTACCACTGTGAAGTTATGGCGGCTTCTTCAAAAGAGAGTACTTGAATGAGTTCAAAAATAGGCATCTCTCTCTAGTGCTCGGACGCGATGGTGTCAAGGGCTAAAGGCACTAGATTGAGTCTACCACAGTCATTGGCAAGCTTGAAGGTAGAGAATGACCTAGTGTCCCAGGCTTGTTCATGAAGTTTTAACCATTTCACGCTTTGACAAGAAATTGCCAAAGTCTACTCCTACAAACTATGCCTCCCCAGGAAAAGGTGACGGAACTCAGAGCCATGGTTATAATCGTAGTCAATCTTGTCATCTAGAGGCGGTGTGGCCATCGTATCATAGTGAACCTCTTGCACTGTGTGAATAGCCAGCTGACGTTACTATGGTGGTACATTTGAAAGCTTGGCCGCATCGTGAGCGAACTTTACCGAGCCAATATCTACCTTCTATCAGAATTCGAAGTAGATCTGTGGGGTCATGTTGTGGCCGGCGGAGGCGGAAGGAGATACAGTGAAAGATATGACGATCACGGCTGTAAACGAGAAGAGCGTTTATCGGCCCGTCGGATTGACTTAGGATCTAGAAGCGCTCACGTGGCTAGGCAGAGCAAAGCTTGTCTTCAGTGATCTCCGCCGCCTTCTTCAGGCAGTTGGAGCCTAAACTTGGCACTTTCCTAGTTCCAGCCCAAGACATAGCATAGCCACTCCTTGTGATTTTTCATCACGACAGCCAGGCATGAAGAAAAGGCCAATTATAAATTGTCGCCTGACTTTTATCGGCGATCTGAAGAGCCGCTCTTCGAGGGCGCCGGGAAGTCAAGAGGTGAAACCATCGTATTTCTCGTGGTAATCACTGCCATGCGCGCCCTGCACCCGCGTTAAGATTTCGACATGCATGCGATCCAATACCTGAGAGCTATGCTATCTACTGGCAATGCGGTGAAGAGTCAAGCTTTGCTTGATTCAGTGCCTAAGGGTTCAGCGATTCAGTCATGGCACATAATATGTGTGTTAAGTAATTATTAAATGACTCTGTTGATCCTAGAGGTACTCGTTTTATTGAAACCGTTCACAAACACCGCGTTGAAGCATATCCACTTGCGCTACATCCTTGACTCTCGGGCGTAGGCATTCATCAAAGGAAAATCTATCTTCTAATGATCTCGCGTGCGTACCTTTTTGATCTCGTACACAATTAGCGTGAGATAAGGTGTAGTGGCTGCCCGGCACAGAAGACACAATCCTCCTCCATTTTTAGGATATTATTCAGTCGCCCTGATTTGGCACCTTCAGGCCCATGCAGGTGTTTGTTAGAAGACATGTACTTTAAGTAGGAGGACTCAATTTGTCGTTTTGAACACTCACACTCAGATTTCGTTTACAGACACCACTCGAGGCTAACCCTTACGGCGTATAACCTCTTCCGTGCATACCCACCACAGGGAAAGGCGTGAAAAAACTGTGGCTAACCGAGTGTGCTTTCATCATCCCACAAGTACAATACCAGCGCGAGAGAGTGTGGTGTGTGAGTCTGACTGGATTCAAACCAGCATTCTCCTGTCTCGAATGGGGTAGGTGTTCAAGCTACCCAGTATCTACTTGGTAGAACGGCCCGAATGGTGTGCTACTGCACCATACAACCCACGTTTTCAGGATAGTTGCTCAAGCCAGCCGGTGCTTCTTGGTGGATTAAGGCGGATTTTGTGCCACTGTATCGCTTAATGTATGCTATATGTACAGCGACCGGCAGAAAATTTTTCATAGGCTGAAGTGTGAGATTCTCCAGAAGTTTACGGCATCCGAAAGAGCTAAAATCGTTGCACGACAAGATACGATTACTTTTGTACGACTACCTGGATTCCTCTTAGTCTGGGCTCGCGTAGTTGGCAAGGCAAAACTAGGGTTGGATGGAAGCCTTCGAGGCACCTCTAACTACATGTATAAAGCCGAGTCCGTAGTGATAGTGTCACACATGATTTAATTATCCGCCATCTATATTGCGACGCAGCTAGAGTTGTTGAAAATATTACTAGTCACTGAAATCTCGGAGGTGAATGAACCTCCTAGTACAGAGGTTCTGCCCATCATAAATCTGTAATTATGGCAGTGGTAGAATGGATCCTTGGTAGTCAACTGAGTTTTATTAAGCTTCGAAGTGGT